GATACTACTTTCAGAAATACTATTGAATAGTGTTGTCCGAGTATTGTGTGAGTTGTCGTCCGCAACAACAATACTATTGTTTGAGATTTGTGTGAGTTGCCTTCCACAACACACAGAAATCTTTCTTGACATGATGAATCTTGCCACATCTCCAATACATGACCACCTTCCTTTCTAGGAATTTAACTTCATAGTGGATCTATCTTTGGATCCAAAGCGCTTCACATTTTTGTCATTTTATGAATATGACCCACCTTGAATCACATTCGGTGCCATATCCAAAAAAGAGGACGGAGTAGATAATAAATCTTCTATTTGAAAGACAAAAAGAGTACTAGGTCACAAAAAGACTAAGAATAAATGACTAGATGAATACATGTTTACTTAAAAACGCGCAACTTTCCTAGAGAATAGAGAGCTGACAAGATGACATTCACATGAGGAGGATGAATGGCACCACAAGGAAGGAAAAGTGATTAAATAAGGCATGCAGAAGAGCAATTCACGGCAGTTCACTACGCAATTAAATAGTTGGAATTTTGCAATCACTTGACGCTGACATTTGCCATATCTCCTTCATGCTTCTCGAAGTGCTCAAGAGCAAACCTGTTAGCAAACTTGCACTTTGTAACATATGCTTGATCCACGCGCATCTGAGGTCTAGCTAGCAAGAGGCTAGAGTAAAACGCCATGAATGTCCATGCCTGCCTGAATTCAGCAGGTGTGTGAATATAGGTCACAAATGATCCTGCCCCAACTTTGGATGCAACTGGTTGATCGATCTATTTGCACCATGCAACTACACTAACCAGCTTTGTGCACTTGGAATAGATGATGAATCATCTTCTGTTGTAAATTATCAAACAACCAAGCGTTGTAAATGATGGTTTGACTATCACAATGAAGCAAGACACGCTATAGTGAATGATAAAATGCAAGAAGTGAAGTAATAAGATGAAGAGATATTTCTCATCAAATATCTAATCTTCAACATTTTGGAAATAAATCATAAGATCACCAAATGAATAGATGTGATCTTAAATCTTTGTGCAAATTTTTTTTATCTTGAAGCTCATCAATTTCAAGGAAGCGTATAACTTGTTTGACAGCTCTTTACGATGAAATTGTAGCTCAAGAGTCTCAAAAAGAATAGTTAATTGTCATACTCATCCACTTGTTTCTAGACTGAAGGTTGAAATGAAGTAAAACAGTACTTGTAGCTTGTTTCTAAACGTTCTTCTTGTCGTCATTGTAATTAAACGTTTTTGAACTCAACTTTTTGCCGAGATCCATGGCATTTAACTTGTTTTCACCTGTCTCTTCTTGAGCAAATAGTCACCAAGTGCATTGTATTTGACTATGTTGCATTTTACTACTCCAGAGTTACTGGCCGCCATTTCATTACGACAAATGTTCAAAGTTATAGCTGGTAATGAAATAATACTTTTTTCACTCATCTACAAATTTTATAAGTAATTTATGATTGATGGTATAGAATGAAAAATCTAAAGATTAATTTACAAAATCTAAATGTAAATGTGAATCATTCAAATTTACATTTTTTGAAAAATATTATTCATCAATATATTTTAATAATTTATTGTCATGTTAAACACTAAAATTTTAATTTTTTTATGATTTCTTTAATTAAATAAATTTTATTTTCAAATCTATTTCACATAACTTAGAATTTTTTTAAAAATTGCTAATTCAATGCTATTTTATTTTTTAAAGATTCATGAATAAATTAGTATGAATCAATATGAAATTTTTTTGAAAGATTGCATTTGGAAAAAAATATGATAAATTTTAAGAAATTTTGATACGTATTATTCACTTTGACTAAGATGTTAGACTAAAAATTTGTAGATCTTGAGACAAATAATAACGTTAAAACTAATCAAAAGGCCAAAAAAATCATGAATATAAAATTTTGCAAGATTAAATCAAAATTTTCAAGCACCGGATGCCTTTTGTAATAACCCACCAAAGGTTAAAACTGCAGTATAGTAGCAAAAAGGTCGAACCCACAAGGACAGAGCCAACACACAGATTACTAAATGTCACGTTTTAACAGACTATTGAAGATTTTGAATTCTCAGGCGATTGTTACTCCCAGAAATACTGCAAGTGCTCAACTCGGAGGTCACTCGGAGGACGCACTGTGCAACGTATTTCACCCCAACATACACCTGAAACTGGAAAAGCACAACTAAGAGGCCGATTAGGACCTCCACTCAAGGTTCAGGGGGAAAGTTTCTCAAGAGTACATTCAGAGGGTTTGCAGGTAGTGTTCCCCAACTCCGGATTGTTAACTCTTACTGCTAGAGCAGAGCACCCGGGTTGGACTTCCTACTTTGGATGCGGTACCTTCGTCAAACCAAATTCACTCACATGCGGTGAACAACACACTCAACTCACAAAACGCGCAAAGAATACAAGACTCCGAACTGAGAAACTCGATTGAGAAAAGATCCAGTGTCACGACTTAACAGTCTATTGACGAGTTTGAATTCTCAAGCACTAGTCATTCCCACAAATACTGCGAAGGCTACCCCCGAAGGCGCCTCAAGCAGCGTACAACCTGAATTGTTAACCAAGGTTTACTCGAAGTAACAAAACTTCACTTTGGCATTAAGGGGGAAAAATCCCGAAGGAGTACAAAGAGGAACAATCACCCGAAAAAGCTTGTATAGCTACTTCTTGCAGATTTGCACCATACTCTCCGCAAGTCCATCAACTCGTGAATGATCCATTGAAGTGCGCTGATGATCAATCAAGGCATGGTCAAGCAAATCTTATTATTCATCTCTAAGTTCAAATTCTTGATCAATGAGTCACTCTACACATGCTCCAAACTTGCTAAGAACTTGTTGGAGGAAAGCCTGGGCTGGTACTTCAAGAGGTCTTATCCGATAGGGCAACTAACTCAATACACTTAGAGAAATGCTCTATCATGATCAACATGTAGATGTTAACTTTGCTTGTCATGAGAAGCTCATCAGCTAAATCACAAGACCAGCGATAAAACAAGCCCATGATATGTAGTGGATGAAGTGTGACCTGCCGAAAGGAAAAAGAAGTTCACATCCTGACGCATTCTTTGCATGTGGCCAACACCTCACAAATTTGAGTATACATAACTCTCCAATAGTAATGAGGAGACATAAGACTATAATTATGCTTCACACCAAAGTGACCAAGTTGTGAATGTAACTTCTTAATCATACCAGCCTTTCATGTGGTGGGGAAATCACTCTATCACCTTTTGGCAAGCGCCAAACTAGATGATCTTTCTTCCATGAATAGGGCTTGGATCGTTGTTGGATACGATACTTGTGACCTGAAATATCTTGAGTAGAGTATTTTCCACTCTCCAACAATCTCAATTCTCCACATCCTCTCATATATCAAATGAAGAATGATCAGCTGCATATCATTCCAGCATGAATTAAGTAGTTAGAGACGTGTGGTCTGGCTGCCAAAGAAAACCAATAAAAGTCTTGTCTTGCATCCGAGGTATACTCTAAAGCATGTTTCATAAGGCTTGGGAATTTCCATAATTACCAAAATTAACTTAAAATATGGATTTTACTTGTCTTAATTTTGGTAAAATTCCAATATTGCCAAAATTACTACAAGAAACAGAATGCAGACATGCTATTATTCGATCATGAAACTGGTCTAGATTTACCTTCCATAAATTTACACCATCGTTTCTGGTCTTCGCGGCTTTGAGACATGTTCCAACCTAATTGGAAGCAAACCTCTAGAGATGATTAACATCACAAGTGTTCAACTTCAACTATTTTTCTGGGGTTTACTTTCGAAGGGAGTAGATTTATTGGTTATAGCATCCCTGAGAGACTTCAAGGACAGATTCTATTGTTTAATTGAGTTAGCATCAAAAGGTGCAAAAATCAAGAGTATTCAAGGAGATTGATCTTCTTAAACTCTGAAAATACTCTCATTAATTTGACCTTGCATTTAAATATTCTGTAAAAGAAAAATCGAAGAGTTAAATTTGAATACAAGAGATAGAGCATGAATTGAACTTTTAATGATTTTTTAGTACGTCGCATATTCTTATTGGTGGCAAAGTCAAATTTGTCTTCGATTCCACAAGTATTTTCATTTATGATCATAAAGACTTCCTTAATTTAAGTACTCCGCCAGATTTATTTTTGCTTTATTCTGGGATTAAGAGACAAATTCCAAAATTTAGGAGGCCTGCTCTAAAGTGATGAATGAGCTCTTGGATGTAGTGTTTGCGTTTTCGTGAGTGACACCACGTCTGTGAATCACCTGAAATTTGTACAAACTCTACAATTTTGACATCAAATCAAACTTTTTTTTTATCTCTTTCAAATAATATCAATCTCATTTACAAATTTTGAATATTAGAACAAAATTAATATTTGATCATCTCTTTCATCACTATGAAAAGTCTTGTTATAATTCAAGATGATAATTATTTATTTATTTTCCACAAAAAATTAACATGGTAGTTATCCCTAATTTCAATTAAATATATACGATTCAACATGATATTGTAACTCTTTGATATTTTGAATCTATCACTTGTTCTTATGTTTACATGAGATTGGATATTTACAGTCTTGTAAACACACAATCAAACTAAATTGTTTCCATTCAATGTTAATTATGTATCCAACGAATCAAATATTTTAATTTAGCAAAAAAGAATCTTTGAAATTGAATTTTTCAAACAAAATAATGATTTTCATCTTCAAAATTCACTTTATCTCTCAACAAAGCATTAAATACCTAAATTCATTCAGATCACATAATTAATATTGATATGTTTAAGAATAATTAATTAAACTAAAGCTGCTGCTATACCATCGACTTTACAAATTCTCAAGACAGATCTAAAATATGATCTTTGTGAGAACTTATTTTAAAAGAATTGACTTATACAGTTTTGATATATATAATTTATGATATATTTTGATTATAAGTATTAATTTAACGTATCCCGAATTTCGATTCACTGGTCTGGTCTGACTGGAGAAAGTAAGTTATAGGACAAGAAGTTTCCTCCATATTTCGTGAAAAAACCCATTGTCAAGTTATCTGTATGCTATTCTTCGAGCATTCATCGAGCATAGAGTATTTTGGCGCAGTACAAGCAACTCCACTGCAGTACCTAGTTCTGGGGTTTCAGAGTGTTTCCCACGTCAATTACAAATCTGAAGTGCACGTCTCCCTTGAGCATCCTCTTGAAGGCTTCGTTGATGTAGTCTATGGGAATTTTCTCAATCGTGCAAACTAAATTCTTCTCGCCACAGAAGTCCAACATTTCCTGTAGCTCGTCCGGAGAAGCGAGGCAACTTGATCCGATACTTGTTCCACCTGGCAAAATATAAATCATAAGGTGAGAATGCAAACTTGCAAAGTCTGCACCAACAATCATCCGCAAACCAACGAAATCGAAGAATTCAGTGAGACTCATGAGACTACATCTCCATTTCGTCGATCGGGTCAATGAATATTAATCAGTACTTGGTGGACTAAAAAGAGCTGGATTCTCACCGAAACACATGGGGAGTGTATCAATCTCGAGTTTTCCAAGGCCTATACCAACGAAAATAAATTTTCCTTGAGGGGCGAGAAGGTTCATCAACGGGTCCAAAGGATGGATGTCCGAAACGGTATCGATGATAAAGTCCAAAGTGCCTGCTGCTTCCTGCATAACACTCACCGTATTATATTAGTCATCTTCGATGGCATCCGTTTCATTTAGATCCTTAACCCTTTGGTTGTTTGACGACCTTCAGTTTCTGGAATTCAGCTGCGAGGAATTATGCATGAGAGTACTGGCTGTATTAAAAATTCGAGGCATGAACTTAAAGATATGATACGGTGCTGAAAGAACATGAATGTATATTGCTACTGACACGGTTGTAATGCATCTCAGCTTTAGATGCTCTGACAAGACAAATGATTTGAACCAGAAATATATTCCAGCTTTTCGTTTCAGGTTTCGGTTGGAACCACAAATTCCAGAATTTCAGCCTACTAGGAAAATCAAACCTGATGTTTGTTTCAAGAGGAGAAAATAGGGAACGGAAAGGGACACACCTCCATCTGCTTTGGATCCTTCGATACGATGAAGTAGTCAGCGCCTAGTTCTTCTCGGGCCATTTTTTCTTTCGCAGGGGATGTGCTGATTACAGTGGCATGCATCCCCAAGGCCTTGGCAAATTTCAAGGCGATGTGGCCCACGCCTCCTAATCCTACCAGGCCGAAGCGATTGCCGTTCTTGCCCATTTCATAGCGTTTCATGGGACTCCACACAGTTGCGCCTGCACAGAGAAGTGGGGCGGCGCCATCCAAAGGCAAGTTCTTCGGTAGCACGAAGCAGAAGCTGTTAATGAAAATCAGCCTCGAGTCAGCTGATCGCAGAGTTTGAGCCATGTATCAATCACTCATGAAGGGCTACTGCATGACATTCGACCGCAAGAAATCCAGGTCGAGAGAAACAGGCCCACCCCATGAAGTCGAACAGAGCAAGCAATTGTACCTTTCATCCACGACCATCAAGTTCGAGTATCCACCATATGTTGGAAGTTCGTCAGCAGGGTTCACGGAATTGAAAACCCACACTACATCCTTGCAATGCTGAGGTAGCTTTCGTTCACAAACTCTGCAAGACCCGCAAGAATTCACGTAGGAGCTCACGGCTGCATGATCTCCGACTTTGAATTTCGTCACTTCCGACCCCGCTTCTTCCACAACTCCCACAATCTCGTGCCTGCAGTTCCCGTACCATCCGACGTCAGTCCCAACAATCACAAGTTTCAGCGAGACAAGACACGTTGAATTGAATTGAAGGCCGAATGAATTCACAGTGGGTTTCAGAAACGTTACCCGGGCACCATGGGGAAGCTCGGAGGAAGGACCTCACCGCTGATGACAGTCCAGTCTGAGTGACACACTCCACAGAACTTTATCGATAATTTTACATCTCGCGGGCCGAGGGCCCTGCAAGCCAAGAGTCAAGGTCGAGATTCAGTGTCTCATCGACCGGAGAATAATACACCCTAGCTGCTCTCTTTGTCCCACGTAATGTTGGCAGAGTGACAGATCTACCATGTGGCTGGTGACCATCATACGCTCAAGAAGCTCAAAATATTGGTCGCCGCCAGCTCAAAACTTGACATAAGAGAGTGTGCGCTCAGGTCAAGGTGGATGAGAAGAAGAGAAGAGAAGAAAGCTTCAGCTCGGCTGCGCACTACACGCGTTCTGGCACAGCTGAAAATTGGGACTGTGGGCTGCACCCAACTGATACTCCACTTCTCGCTCACATCCGCAGACATCGAGTTCAGAGGGCAGCGACTGCGGGGAGTACCTGCGAGAGAAGGTGATCGGGGCCATGTGGCCCGAAGTGTCCCTGGCCGCCCATCCGATCACTTCAGTTTCACTTGCCATCTTGGGCGACGATGAGCTTCTGGACCTGTTAGAATCCGGCTCCCGAACTGGCACGATTCGCCTCCTCGCTCGAGCCTTATATACATGCAGATGCAAAGGCAGAGGAGCGATCTGACCCTTGACCGCGAGTCTGAAAGTCCTGCCTGGAAAATATAAGCAGCTGGAAGTCCTGCCTCGAGAATATAAAAAGGAGGTGGAAGTCCTGCCTCGAAAATATATGCAGATGGAATTCCTCTAATTTAAGAGGGTGGCTCGTCTCCTGCGTCGTCTCTTGCGTCTCCATCCTAGGTCGAACGAATCTCGCGCAGAACGGGAGCGCCCCATCAGCAGAAACAGAATCAACGTTCAGTAACGCAGTAGAATATCAGCGTCGAGCGCCGTCACCATTGACTCGCAGTGCAGGATCCACACAGTCGCCTTCGCCTACTGTAGAGCGCTGAAATCGTAGCGGCTGGTCAACAAATGCAAGGCGCTTGACGAGTTCCCGCAGGAAGTAGAGGTACTTACTTGATGGGCCCATCGGTATCTAAATTGTTTACCGGGACCCTTAAAGTTTCACTTTACAGGATGGAACCCCACCGACGGTACATGTCAAGGATGTTCTTGTATAAACAAACGGTCCAGGCAGTGAAATTCTGTCGCAGCGACTCTTGACGTTGGACGTCTAGTGGGGATTTGTCGCAGCATCTGCTGAAGATGTGCCACAATGTTACGCTTAACATGTCCAGGTCCGCGTTTCGTCAGTTGCAGACTGCAAGAAAAACCTCAATGTCAAAATATTGTTCGACGGCTTGAAAGCTTAAAGAGCACCAAGACCACAGGGAATGTGCTCCGTGATGAAGGTGACCTCAATTTTGATTTCTGAACTTTTTTATCTCTCCGGAGTCAGTTGACGCCAAACAAATGGTCACGTGAGAAAGTTGTGCCCACAGACATATGCTCCTGTCTCGTAAGCATAGTACCAGATCAGGACCTTTTGAATTGTATAAAAGGTTTTTTGAGTTCCAAGCGCTCGATCCGACTGAGTCCATGGATCCGCCCCTTCCGAATACATCTCATACATTCATCTAATCATCGTCCAGATAATCATCCGCTGGTTGTTGAGCAGGATCTTACTGAAAATGAGGTTACTAGATAAGTCCATTGTTGAGAAAGCGGACAGCTTGCCCTCAGTTGCTGGAGGAGGCCCAGCCAGTGCATTTTCTGAGACGCCCACTTTCACACGCCATTGTCTGAGTGCATTTTCCACGTATTCATTGTAAGCCACTTACAGAACTAGAATGAAATTGCTCGCTCCAGGTGATAGAAGCTGAGCTCGAGCACCATGAGGCTCTTCAGAAGACTATATCTCTTAGGAATCCTGCCGGAGAACGGAAAGCAACTCCAGATTTTGTAGCTCACAGAACCACCTTCAAAGGACCACATTAGTAGACATATGACACATGCTAAAAGTTTGAAACGTCGAGTCCAAGCCTGGGGAAGGACAAGAAGAGTACTAAGGGCACAAGAAGACTAAGAATAAATGACTAGATGAAGACATATTTCCTTAAAAACGCGTAGATTTCCCAGAGAATGTAGAGCTGACAAGGTGACATTTACGTGAGGAGGATGAATGGCACCACAAGGAAGGGGGAGTGAACGAATAAGGCATGCAGAAGAGCAATTTACGCCAGTTCACTGGGCCAATAAATAGTCGGAAATTCGCAATCAGTCGGCACTGACATTTGCTATATGTCCTACATCCTTCTCGAAGTGCACAAGACGGAGCTGTCAGCAAACTTGCACTTCGCAGCATATCCCAGCTCCCAGCGAATCCGAGGTCTAGCTAGCAAGAGGGCAGACTAAAACGCCATGAATGTCCCTGTTTGCCTGATTTCAGGAGGTGTGTGAATATAGGTCACAGATGGTGGTGCCCTGACGCTGAACGCAACTGCCTGATCGATCGATTTGCACCCTGCAACTTATTCATCGGCTACGTCCACCTGTCTATCAGACTTTCCATCATGCACCATAATCTATCATAAAAGTAATGCAGAAGGAAGATGCACTACATATTTGCGGATGGTAGGCACTCGAACAATCAGAGATTATCTATTCAACGATGCGTTCGTATTGACCTGACCTTCTCTCCTTCCATACATCGACAGATTTCAAATGGCATCGCGATAAGAGAAAAATTTGACCGAATAACCAACTGCACATTCGATTCACACGCATGGTCAACTGGCGATGGTCAACTGACGATGGAGGCATGGCCAAAATGGCATGACTATTTTAAGTTTTCTGTGGTCGTCGAACTCTTTCCTCGGATTGTAAACTATCCGGATATCGCCATCCTAATCCGGATCCTAAAGTTTCGTTGAGGCAAAGTTTACTATCCTAAACTATCCGGCGTATGCAAAGTCAATTTTTCCAAGGATTGTTTTGCATAAAATCTGAACTTTTTGACAATTGATTTCATATTGATTTCATATAGATGTTAGCATAATGTTAGCTTTTAATTTACATGAAAAAATTCATATTACAAATGGGAAATATTTGTTAGCTATATGGATTTTGAACTAGATCTACGGTTTGAGCTATATGAAAAAAGTAAAATTTAGAAGCCATATCTAGATGGAGTAGTTTTCACTAAAATTAGAGGTTATTTAATTTATAACGAGATATGCATTAAAATGAAATAAGATTGAAAATATAATTGATTCAACAATATATTCTTAATCATAATATTATGTATGTGGGAGTATTACCTGGAATGTATTTGATGATTGAAATTGCTTGTAAACATTATCAAATATGGTTTCATTATTCATTCAAAATGCAGTAACTCTAAGTGTAAAACCCTATAGAGACACATCAATCCAAAAATAACGTGGTTCACACTCAGCAAGAGGGTTACGTCCATCTATAACTCTCATCACTTTACTCCAGGTCTTGTTCAGAAAGACTTAGGGCCTTACCACATTACCGGCAGGCGGCACCAAGCTCCTGGCTATAAGAAAACCAGGTTTTCGTAGGCCTAAGTTGGCCAGCTAGAGAGAATTCCATACCCTCTACCACACTACCGGTAGTGACTTTGGAGTGAAAAGGGAAAAATATCTCTATTAATTGCAACGCAGCGATGAGAAGTCTTTGGAAGAATAACCCAGGAAGGCGCGAAAGTACACGTGGAATCGATATATTCCGGAAAAACCGGATTTCCAGGCGGAAGTGCTTGGTAGTTTGGAGAAGTCGATTTCTTTGTCACATAGGATGTATCAAATTGCCGCTTCCTCCCGTGTGGTAAAGGGGGAAGCTCGGGTGCCAATAACAAGCGAGGATTCGCTGCCGCTGCCGGTCGTGTGGTTTGGCCCTTAATACACAGGTTGAACCCCAAGGTATTTATCTCCAGTTCAGGATATTGTCCTAGCTATAAATAGCAAGAATTTGAGGTTATTTCTTAACTAGAGTTAACCTCAACAATAACAAAGCTTTATCAAGCATGCTAAAAATTGCAAATGCATGTCATTTGTATACTTACATAAATTAGAGTACTATGATATTGAGGTTAATTCGTGTGTTGCGGTTTAACCTCTAGCTATTTAAGTTTAGCTAGCTATTGCCTGACTTGGGATTATTAACCCTAGAGTTTCATTGTATTCCACCCACTTCTACTTCTTATGAGTACATACGCGCATGTGTTTTCTTTCCGTGGATGTAGCCCTTAGAATGGGAACCATGTTATATCGATCTCTCGACTTATTGTGTCTACTATCACTGTTTACTATCGTTTGTCTGCATGTTTCTTGTAAAGTATTGACAAATGATATTGGAGCGTATTTGCATCGTGTTTGACAAGTTTGACTATGTCTTGTTTACTAAACCTTCCGGATAAGGCGAATTGGCTTGGAAAAATAGGCGCAGCAAAACTCAAGAACAAGCAAAAGCAAAAATCAAAAACATGCAAATTCAACAATGAAAAGTCAAATTTGTTGATACGAATCGAAGATAGACACATAGAGGATGAACGCATGGACAAGCGATAGATGACAATTTTGAAGTAAAATGCACAAATCGATGGCGGATGTGCACAGGAGTAAAGAAAATTTGACAAGATAGGCTCAAGCAAAATTCCAGGGAGAAATTTGAGAGGCCGAGATGCAACAGGCTGCCATGAGTCATGGCGGCCTGTTGCATCTCGGCCCGTCAAATTTTCAAAATTTCTCATGCTCCTACGTCATGGCTTATGACGTAGGAGCATGAAAAAATTTGAAAAAACTTTTTGCTAATGAAAGCTATTGTGTTGTTTGTTCTCTCAAATTTCAAGACAATTGTGACATAAATTATATTTATTCATCGTCCACTTATTCTATTTTTGATTTTTTACACTATATTGAATATCCTACTACTTGATCTCAAATCTAATGTTCTTGTGGAAAGTGTATTTTACATGGATCCATACTTAAAGTAACTTTTGGCTAGAAAATTAAAAAATTAGATGTAGTGAGACGGTAGGACTAGAAAATAATCATAAAAGCAGTAGATTAAGTTAATTAAGTTTTTTGACTACTTCCATCCGTCTTGGATTAGATGATAGTATAAAAATATTGACAGAATACAAATCTGCCGCAGCTAGCAGCGTTCTGGCCACGTCTAGACCTCACCAAAGTTTTCAGAATCATTTGGTCTCAAGTATCATTTCAAAATTGAGATGTATTCAGTGATTCCAATATTTTCTGATGTTCAGGTGGTCCAAATTTGTTTTGAACGATGTTGAAGTAGGAGTTAGTAGGAATTTTTGGATAACTAGTAGCGATGGAAATTGAACTCAGTTGCACCTAGCTATCAATCTGGAAGTTAGGTAGTATTAGTGATTGGACTTATAGATTTCACAAATTTAGTGCACAGGGATCCGAAATTCTAGGATGTAGTTGACACCTCGGCCGCAAAAATTTTGAATAAGGTTAGCGAGATCACTAGTATTTTAATGATGAAGCTCATTTGCAGTTGGCTATTAATCCAGATGTTAGGCAACAAACTTATAGAATGACGATTTTTAGTTATTTGAGGTTCAAAATTCTAGTATCTAATTGACACCTTGGCCACAAAAATTTT